TCATCTGAATGATTCTGTTGTCCTGGGGGGACCAGGTTGTAGAGGGAACTCTAGAATGACCCCGTGAGCAGCGTGTTTGGGGCCCTGCTCCTGGTGAGAATCTTTTGTTTTAAGATTCGGACCTAGGATGTGGTTCAGTTAGTAGAACTCCCATCTAGCACAAGGTCCCGGGTTACATATAAGTGGTGTGTGGTGGCACTGGCAGGCCTGTGAACCCAGCACTCAGGAGGTGGAGACAGCAGGATCCAAAGTTTAAAGCTAGCCTCAGTTAAAGAGTGAGCTTGAGGCTAGCCTGGGCTATATGAGATCTTGTGTCCAAGAGAAAAGAGGAGAAAAAAAGGATCCTTTCCTCCTAGTGTGTGTCTGAGGGTGCTTGGTGAGCCTCTCTGCGCCCCAGGCTTTGCCAGGTCACCCCTTGGAGGGCTCTTGTGTCGGAAGGAGGGAGGCTCTTGCCTCTGTGGCGACCGTAAATGCTCGGATTCAGAACCCCCATGGACCTTGGGGGCTAGGAATAGACGGGGTTTCCTGACCCCTTTCCTGCCTCTCCTGTCACCAGAAGTCTACCACTCGAGAACGCAGCAACCACCAGAGACACCTGGCCAATTCTGGGGGCTGGGTCCCCGTCAAAGGTGAGCCTGGGGCCCCATATTTGTCCCTCCCTCCATCATCTCAGAACCCCCTGGAGTGATAACAAGGGCAGTTCATTGGCTCCTTGCTGCTTTACACCCGTCTCTGCTTTCACAGAGTACAGCCCCGAGTACCAGGGAGCTGACATGGCTGAAATAGATGCCCGCCTGAAGGCTTTGCAAGAATACATGAACAGGCTGGACACGCGGTCATGACCCTGGAGAGGTGGTACCCTGATTTCCCATTCTGCCATCCGTGGGTCTGGTGTGGAGGCAACGCCCCTCCCATGCTCCACACCTCTAGGTGCTCCTGGAGTCTCAGGTGTGTGAGGCCCGGACTCCCCTCTCTCCCAATAATGCATTCTAGGAGAAGAGAGTATGTGTATTTTGTAAATAAATGTGGTTGTTCTTGGCCCCGTAGCTTATGATTCGAGGGTAGGGATGGAATGGGAAGACATGAGCATGGCCTCATAATAGAGACCCTAAAGTGCTTCTGTTCCTTCTGTGACCTGGAGGCAGGTGGGCGCTAGTGAGCTGTGTGTCTCCAGAGGGGTTCAAGCAAAGTTGATATGTCTGGCTA